ATTCATAAAATTTAGTATACCGCTTGAGTAAATCGACTCTTCATTCGATAAATATTTCAATGTAAATATTAGCTATCGTAATTCTACTAATATTGTATCACGATTAATTTTTAATTTTGGGTCTCATGGTTCTTCCTTTTCTGTTTTTCTAATTATAAATATATTTGTAGAAATTAACCATATCAATTTTATATTGGAACCACAATATCGAGATATCGAGAAGAATAAATATAATATGTTTTTTTTTTATCAATGAGGAATAACTAGCTGAACTATGCACTTAAATCGATATAAGTATAAATATGTAACTATTTCTTAATCACGTTAACGCTTCTTCTTTTCTCGATACATTTAGAAACTATTTCCTCTTGCATAACCTTCATCTCTCTTTTGCATATCACATTATAATCTCTTTCCTTTAAAGTCATTTAAGATAAATAATGGTTTAAACACTCCTTCCTTCATTGAACGGAATCTAAAATTAAATTCCCTTAAAAAAGTTTAATAAAACTAAAGAACTCCTTGTAGTGTCAATCCTTTTATTTATTCATTATCCTAAACGGTGTTTAATCTAGAAAAAGTGGTTGAATTGTATGACGCATCTGAACTCGTTTATGAGAAAAATTGCCGCATGATATGCTAAAGGTTGTGACCACCCCTGACCTAAACGATACTTCAGTTTTGTATAAACTACGATAAATTGCTCCACGTAGTAATAAATCTTAAAAATTCATAAATAACCCCCGCAACTAAACAAATATTTTCCTCGTGTAAAACATGGTTAAATAAATCCATTCATTGAACTATACGGCAATTAAGCCTGGTATATGATTATTTATCAATGTCTGAATGAAGAATCTGGTATGGCAATAAAGTGTCGTTACGATTTGTCAATTATCAACCATTAGTACAAGATGAATGTGTGCTTAGCTCTTCATAGTGGAAAGATGAAACGTCGTTGAACCGAATTATTACGTGGAATGAAAAATGACTGTCGTATAGTACTGTTAATCGCCGAAGACGATTAGGTTGGCCATAATGAAACTCGAGTGCCGCGAGCGAAGCCACAAGTACACCAGCTGTAAGCTTTATTGTCTGTTTGGTGGGATATGAAAGAAATTGTTCATTATGAACTGTTACCACGTCATCAAACAGCAACTAAAGAGTTTTATTGTGCACGGTTAGATCGTTCAAAAACACCCTTAACTGGCAAATGAAGAACTTTGGTTACGATATGTAGAGAATTATCCTATGAGTTCACACGAAAACATACGTTGCAGAGAAGGCTATAAAAGTTTTCCATTTAGGATTTTGTTTTTTACTACAGCATAAATTGTATGGAATATATTCGATTATATTTTCAGTGGTACACTGTTGTATGATGTCTTACCTTTATCACATTCCATGAGTATTAATTAATATTTATATGAACTTCGTCTACAGAAGACAAAAATATTGATTTTTATCTATAAAAGAGTGTTTGAATTTTTGTGTTTCAAGCATTTTTTTCGAAGTTACGATCATTTGAAATCAACGGTTTCCAATTTCGCTACAGTAAGACCCCGCTTAATGCGGAGGATGCGATCCAATAAGATGCGGCGCTAAAGGAAACAGCGTTTAACGAGGTCATCTGCACACGTAAATAATTGGGATAAGTGAAACAGACCAAAAAATTAGAAAATTTATCAGTTCTTGTTTTGTTTTATTTTGTAACATTAATTGTTAAATTGATTTCTATTGCATCGATTATAGACTTATTTATTGCTAATATCCATTTTCATTCATAAAACATTCATGAAAATAAAAAAAATTCGAGTAAAGATGTCATGTTTATGACGAGAAAGGTTCTTCCTCGTTTGACATTTTTTGTTTTTGTTTGTGACCAAGTCATCTAAAGTCGTTTATTTAGAGCTACTCCGTTCAGCAAGCATTGTCGATAGCAGGACCTCGCATGACACTTCGTCTTGCCTTTGAACTTTCATGAAAATTTAAATCATTTTGTACAAACTGAAAAAAAACTACCAAGTACTACCGCGTAATACTGAAACAGCGTTAAGCGGGGTCTTACTGTACGTGCATCTTCTACTTCATCGACTTTTTTAACCGTTTGAGTCCCAGAGGGTATTGGAAGAACTGTCGAAGAATCCCAAACAACGCAACCGCGCTTTCTCTGAATGAGTACTGGGTTTTCTCGCTAGATCACTGAAACATCACACTGTGTGACGCAGTGAAAATTATGAAGTGTCCAAATATTAAAGTTGCTCGGTGTACGAGCTCTGATCGAATGTTATCAGAAAATGGCGAGGGCGTCCCGGAAAAAAGACGCGCACACGGGAAAAAGGGAGCTCGATGATCGAAGGTTTGCAGAGGAGGAGTTATTGCCGTGGCGGTAATGAAGCCAGAGGCACGGAAGACAAGCGGGCGCTGTCTGTTTGGAAAGAAAACACTTATTAGCAGGGTGGATCGTGGTTCCGGCGAGGGCTGAATTTAAATCGGTACACGTGGCACGGTGGCGGCGCAAAACGTAGAAAGGAAACAGCGCGACAAACGTTGGAGAAACGGCCGTCGAGGTCCGTACGAGCGACACACGGGAGACTCGCGCGAACGCAAATCCAAGCAGTCCCGAGGGATCTATTTTAATTATGCCGAGAGAAAATTTGCAAGAAAAATAGCGCGACTCTCCTTATTTGCGCTCGGAGGAATAAACGGGTGACTCATGACGTTAATAGAGATGATCTCGTTCCCGGAAGAGAACTTCAAAATCGACCCGTGTCCTCCCATTCCAGCACGAGCAATTCCACCCTCTGGGAACTATATTCCTTTAATGACGATTGAATTAAACGACGATTCAATTATTCGCGGGAATAGAGGAGAATCTGTTTTAATCGCGCGGGATGAGAACTCGGGAGAAAATATCGTTATACCCCATTCGCGATGGGACAAATAATACGGTTGTTGGATAAATGTTGCTCCCTGAAACGAATACTGATCTGGATCATACGTCCAGGTACTCCAGGTAGAAATTCCTGCTTTTTGTGGCTGGATATATATAGCGACATTATAGCCTTTGTTAACCCCCTACAATCCTTTGCAATAAATAAACATTTAAATTTTAATCATTTCCTGACGTTTGATATATTTTTCGTGTAGTATGCAATTTGTTCTATTTTGTTTAATTAGTGACTAAAATATAAACATACAGGAAGCGTATAAATTTACAAAATTCACTTTTTTAAAGAATATACATGCCATACGTTTTGTCTGTAATTCGTTTGCGGGGAGAGTCGTTTTTCGCAGCTACAAATATCGATTTTCAAAGTAATGTTTGGAATTAATTTAAAGAAAGACTGTTACATATAGAAATATGAAATTTACACCCGTATGTTTATCTAGATTTCCTGTTTACACATGAACTTTTATGGAATTTTACAATGTATAATGTTTATACTATCTATTATTTAAAAATAGCATGTAAAATGTACACTTGGACATTCTTCCGGCCATCGCTTCTGTCCTTGTGTTCATCCGAAATAGAAAACTGAAAGAGATTTTTAATAGATATAAGTGAAACTTTCTTATAGTTATATTTACTCTATCTTCTAACTAAAAAGATGAAGTCATATTATATCAAGTTTATTGTATATAAAGAATAAGAAAGACTTGTAATCACTGATAAAAGAATATCCATCAAATTTTAATTATATTATATTAATAAATTAGTACCAAATAATTAACATTGAAATTGAGACGGTAGATCTTCGAGCAATTTAAAATGATATGTTTATTGGGAACTACGTCATCATTTATATTCGAAATCATATTTATCCTTCACATGAAACTGAAATGTGTCAGTTTACATTTAAATGAACTTCCACTCTATAAATAAATAAATAAATCACTTTACGTCTCTAATAAAATTTAAACAATTTTCTTTATAGTTTGTTGCTTATTATCATTGGAATTTTTTAATTCCGTTTTATTTATCGAACTCCGAATAACCTTAAGTACACTGAGAATATTTTTCTTATTCGGATGATATAATTCAGATCCAGAAAGGTTAAAAACTGTGTTTGTTCGCGAGACCGGGAATTTGAAACATTCGCGCAGAGGGTCGTTTTAATTTTAAAACGCGAACGCGATTGATCATGCTGCTGAATCGATTGTTTCAACGCTTCGTCTACGATTTCACAACGGAAGTTTCAATTTTCCATTCGCATACAAGCGCGATAATAGGTTTTGCAATGCAGCACGTACTGCAACGCGAACTCTGTGAACGTGTCATGATCGTTTTACAAATCTAACTGTGAATCACTGAGATCTATATTTGGTTCATCAACACATGACGTTTCAGTAGGATTATTTGCTTTTTTGCACATTTTTTGAAAATTACAGAGAGGCAACCTTTGATGTAAAATGTTGTCTGGCTTTTTATTGGATCTTTATAAGTGCGCGTATCTGTACATGTATGTGCAATGAATTGATGAGATATTTTTGGTGAAAATGCAATAAAACACGTTTTTGCAACAATTTCGACTGAGACGTCCGGAACAGTAGAGATGGGCAATATTGTATTTCAATAACAGATGAAAAATAAATCTAACTTTTAGCAATTTAATCGTGAAAATTACTATTCAACCAAACAATTAAATTTTTATTTATTTCTCGTAAAATATTTCATATTGTAATTCAAACTCCAATTTTTATACGCTTACCAAATATAAAGTTAATCGAAATAATTGATTATGGAATCATTCTACCCATCTCTATATAATAGTATATATCTCATTGCCTTAAAGTTACGAAAAGAAGTTAAAGTATTGGTAGCATCCGGAATTTATATTTGTGGCTCTTTTTAACAATCAGTCGCGAATGTTAATCTCAACCCATTTGGTATCAATATTAATTTTTCGGAACTGATTTTCTCTTCTTTGTATTATATTCAGAAATATTTTATTACCAATAACAAATTTTACCATGAGAACAACTTTTTTCTGTTACAGTTACACGTTCTATAGATACTTCTATACAGACTTCTACCTACAAGTATCCAGTAATATCCAACCATTTGCACAGCATTCGGTGTGAGACAACGAACAACATAAGTGTAAGTTTCTGGAAACATTCTTTTTAGTAAAAACTGGTAATAACTTAAGATGGAATTAGTTTCGTTAATAAAATTCTGGAAATATTATAAGAAACATCAAGCAAATTATTATTAAACATAATATATTGCAATTCATAACAATAGTATTGCAGTATGCGTAAACCAATCTGTTGCCTAAAGGTAAAAGAAGATTTTCCAACCCTCTCGATTATGCGACCAACCCTCGTTTCTGTCGATTCGAATAATCAAGGGATTTCTGTATATATTCATTAATAAATAAATATGTTATAATATATTACATTTGAAAGAGGCTTCATTCAAGACCGAAACGTTGTAATTAATTAAAAACTCGTGGCTAGTGTTCAAAATTATCCACAAATGGAACCCTTCTCTCCTAATTATCTTTTTAATACGGAAAGGTTAAAAAATTTAACTACCCAAGGTTTTATCATCAAGTTGAGGGTTTTCCCTTAAACCAATAGATAACAAGGATAAAAACGTTCATTCCACTTAATTTTGGGTAAATGTGGTTTTCCAATATATCCGAGTACGTCCAGTTTTATTTTCTTTTTTAAGTACTCAAGAAAATGCGATTTCAAGTGATTTCGAAAGAAACGTTCGGCATGTTTGTTGTTTTTGACAGGGCGCCACGTATCCCAGTGATTTGTAGTTAGGTTTGCGGAAGGTTCGTGACGCGTTCGTAGACTTCGTGTTGTATTACACGTTGCATTACACCCGGTTGTGCTCGGCTTTACCAGCACGGTAACGAGTGTAATTAATTAAGGTGTTCGTAGATCCCGTTGTACAAGTATCGTGCACGTAACACATTGACGAAATCCAATACAACAGGAAATCAATATCATGGTCATTGTAAAGCAGATTGATGTTGTTGTACCTTAATAACGATCCGATAACCTGGTAAATTTCAGAGGAAAACTTTTTCATCTAGTATAACGAATACAATTCTGGATCGAATTTCCTCATTACTGGATATAAATCTTAGTATATAAGCGTATCATATTTAAAAGACATATCAATTTTCAGTAAATATATACTGGTAGAAGCGTCCTTGGTTGGAATTTAAATTTAATTATCAGAATTTTTGTAAGTGATGTTTAATATCACATTTGAACCGGTTGTGAATATTATACAGGCAATGTTAGTTGAGGTTATGGGACCATTGGGTATTGAAATATGTTTTCGTTAGTTTAATTTAATTCTATCTTATGAAATTTATTGTTTCAATATTTATGAGGGTAGCGTGGCATATAAATTGATCATTGATAGCATTACTGTCGTGAAAACGCAGCATCTACCACATCTTGAATGGCACATATAGCGTTTTGCAGAAGAGTATCTACAGATGGATAAGTGTATGTACTTTGTTAGAAATTTAACGATAAAAGATTTATAAAGCGATTAGAAACACAATTTTTTGTATACAGAATCTTCGTAATCTTTGAGAAAAACAGTATAAACAGAAACGTCATAGTTGATTTCTCTTGGCTTCATGGACACTGAATATTTACAATAACCAAAATCATTCAATTTGTTAGAACATATTCGACTTTATTGCATCGACCATCCATGTTAATAATTATGAAAAGTATTTTTCTAAAGATCATAGCTATACAAAATATATAATTTTGAGAATATATTTTTACATTGAATGGCCAGTGATAGAATCAAATGATCTGATAGTTAAAACAGTTATAAATCGAAAATCGTATACGTGTTACTTAATAATTAATATTAGATCATATAAGAAAATATTAGTTTTTTGTTTGGGTTGATGACTTACTATTGATGTATGTTGTTTTCATATGTATACGAGCCGTTCACTGCACAAATCGATTAACTCTACTTTTTGAAAAATCTTAAATTTAAGTGTCAAAGCACTTGGTATACTCATAACTTTTTATATTCATGATAATTTTCCTGAATAATGAAGATTAACACCACTGAATATAATAATGAAATATTCAGTGTTTGGGTTCATGTCTTACATTATATTATTATAAATTGTTTAGCTTACATAATAATATATAATATGTATGGATGAAATGACCACGCTAAATATATGTATCAGCATAGTTTTTTCATGCAAAATTTCATCTGAAATATGAACATAGAGAAAAGAATAATATTCGTTACGGATTTGTTGGAACAAGAAAACTATTACATTTGTAGGAGATACTTTTAACTAATAACTCTTTTGATGAGCTTCATAATTCAAATTCAATAATATTTTCAACACTTTATTCTTAATATGTAATTCATATAAATCTCATGTAACCTAATTCTACAAAAAAGTAGAATATGTATTCGTACGTCTTTATCATGGAACATAACTAATTAAAATCAGCCAAAACATTCTTCAATTCCTAAAAACGCCCGAAAAATGCACACACATTATACATTGTAAATATAGTCGCTAATATTAAAAGGAAGCATACGACTATAATTAATTAAAGTTAAAAAAAAAAACAAATGTAACGATATTCCAATAACTGCGTTTCATGGGCATTGAAATCCCATTTGGCGTGAAATATTTGTCGCGTCGGCAGAATAATGCGGTAGCCGTTTCGTTTTGAACGAGAAGAAAGAGTTGGGCATTGTTCATTAATCACTGGCAGATAATTAAATTGGGATAGCTTAAGATTTCGGTTGGCTCCAAAGGATTCCCATAGGAACGGCCAGAACTGGCTTGGAGAATTCGATAAGAGGAGCCCACAGGATTTCGAAGAGGGTGCACAATAGTGAAGGATGCTCTCAACTGTAAAATAATTAAGCTTCACGAAGCCCCTAATCGTTCCTGATCTTCTTCCAACGAGTCGATTGCTTCATTCGATTAATCGCGAAGAACTCAATTGTCGAGGCCGAAACTTTTGTGCTTAGGTACGGGTTACGCGGCAATACAGGTTCGCGCAGTATTAAAATATGATCAAAACGTCCTTATGAAGCGAGGAGCATTAAAAAAAAAACTTTTCTTACTTGTTATATAATTTAAGTTTTACTAAAAATAAGTTACATGATCTCATTACAGACCATTTGTTTATTTAATAAATTTTATTTTGATATATTAATCATCAAGAGGTCTAAACAATACAAATAAGGTATCTTTATTGTTATTACATATATAACTTTACTCCGATCTTAAGATATTAATAGTACGAAGGTGTCTTATTTATTATTTCATATGTTACTCTTCTTTACACTACACGCATCATCAATTATAATTGATATGTAAATTCGAAATGATTTATTTACATGAAATATACATTTTGTAATAGTTCATGAAATTGATATTACTGAAATCATGGATTTTACAATGTAAATATGTACGTTAAATATCTTACACGAATTAACAAGAACGCCGCGCGACATGCACAACAATAAAATAGAGAAAAACGTTAATATTTTGTTTTAACGATAAACGGAACATCATGTTGAATGTAATTTTGATCATGTTTGTCATGTAAGAAGTCAAATGACACTGTAAAACTAATTCAATTGGGAAACTAAACATTTCAACAATTCCACAATCCATATTTCACACAAATATTTTTATCAAATTAAATTCTTATACGGTCGATAATGAGCCATTTACCTTAGTAAGATTTTTCTTACTATATCTTGATTATACAACCAATTAGCATTAAAACGTTTTTATTTTTACCTTAAAAATGCGGACAATTTAAATGTTAACATACAGAAACAAATTACACATTAGAAACAAAAACCCAATTTTCTCAGTTACAATATTTTCAAGAATATTTTTACCAAGCGAATACTTATTAATTTACATTAGAAAAGTAAAAACATAACGTAACGTACCTTTTAACTCTGTTAAACTGTTAATTACTTCTACCCTTTTGATTGATAGTTTATGTAATGGCAGCGGTTTTGGACTAAATTGTTTACTTCATACCATATCAGTTTCCATATAGTAACTTTATAATGCTGATTGAATTACGTTAAACTGACGAAAATAGATTTAGATACTACGTGGTTCCGTAACCTCGACTAAAATTGCCTACACAATATTCGTTAATGGTACGAATTACTAAACGTGCTATCATATTAAAGGTATACAATCATGGCTTTTATCCCAAATTATATTGACAAACGCATTAACAATTAGTTAGACAGTTTTCAATTAGTCTGTATGCAGTTCATAAACGGTAAAGAATATATTATACACAATATTATACACTATACAACAAACAAATATTTATGTAATTTTAAACGAATATTAACATCCCTAATGTGTTAGAAATAAAACAGGAAGTTACGATTAATCGTTATTTATTATAAAACCATCGTTTCAGGCTAAAACTTTCAGCCATTAGAGGTTGCAGAGATATATAAAATCATTAATGTCATATATGAAAATAATATACATGAAAACTTCAACTCTAAAGAATATAAAGGGTATCCTAAAAGAAAATATTAAAAATGGAAGAAACTTTGCTTTTGTAATAAATAACGATTAATAGTTATAAATAGTTATTTAATAGTTATAAATAGTTAATAGTTGTAAATAATCCTCCATAATTACATAAACATTTGTATTTGACTATAGCGAAGTCCTTCAACCTTTATCAACTGTAATCTATATCGATAATTCCCCATTTTTTTTATATATGTACTTATTCATTACTCAGTTTTTGTTTATTTATATTTTAAATGTATTATTTGTTCATTGTTACAATAAATTTTCGATGAACCACTGACGAAGGCTGCAGGAAACAGTCGAAAACGTTATAGAAAAACAAAGGTACATATTTTAAAAACTCTAACATTAAATAATTCCACTCACATCAAATAATTTCTAGCAAAATTAGCCAAATGTAGATATAGCCTTTTAAATAAAAATAGTAAATAAGAATATAATCATTTATACATTGATAAGCTTTACTTCGATCTCACATCGAATAATTTCTTTATTAAAAGAAACATAAAATGAAAGGTACGCAATAATAAGTTGATTGGAAAAC